TTAGGTAATTTGGAGGTGCCTAGGGGCAAAATACCAAGTTAGGCATTTCACATAGAATTGGATAGATATCCATTCTAAATGAACCAGGGATTAATATATTGTGAAGATATGGTGTATCTTAGTTCCAAGTCACCACCCAAGGTCAATTCTAAAGCCAAGTAATCCTATAGGGACTCTTCTTGAATTCTCTTATAATGATCTTACCTACTAAATGCTAGAGGTTAAGATCAATATGTGGAATTTCAAGTTGAGTAAAAAGAAGAGTTTTGAATTTCTAATGGTGGGGGTACTTTTTCTAATTTTCTAAGACTAGTCAATAGGAAAGTCCTATGGCTAGACCTAGACTACTAAAGAAGTTTCTAGACCTCAACCAAAAGTGAGGTCAACACATACCTAGTATGTGTTTGTCATTTGCATGTGTGTTTGATCTTTTTGGGGGCAAGGTGTAATTCTCCATAGTGGCATCTTATACCCTAGGTGACCAAACACAATACCTTTTGAGCTATGCATCTTGCATGTGCATCTTTGCACTGTCAGCATATTTGTTGCTAGCGTGCACCACCATGTAATCCTGACGGATATCACTATCTCGTGATCACTACAGTCTCAATGAAGCGATTGCAGTGCAATGGATAACTTTGCATCTGTATGTGCATCTCTGATCAGCTTGATGACAAAAGTAACTCGTTAGTTGAGTGACCCTATGCTGGTCACGATGCGACAACTAATATTTCTCGCAAGAATGTCTCAGTGGTTAATACTAGCTATTGCATTGTGGCTAGCATATGTATGTTGTGTTAAGGCTCCAAGGGATCTAATGGCAGCTACTTAGGCATTCTTTCCTTAGAACCTATTTTAAAGTATAAAAATTTACATTTTTTATTACTTTATGCATCATATTTCAAAATCTACTTTAAAATTTTTTTGCACATCTACCTTATACCAAAAGTAAGGTCAACACTTTTACGCCTTTTCAGAACCTCCATCTGGTGGCACCCCTTAGAATCATTGGATTCTTAGGATGAGGTCGGGGACGGCGACCCTATCAAAACATACACCAACCTTTTGAACTAAGTATGTACTTACTCAGATGTTGTGTTAGGTTACTATGTTAGATGATGTACTAGGTTAAGGACTACAATGCTAGGTAGCCTTTTCGATATTATGACAATAGTTCTCTGTTGGTTTGTTTGCCCGAGCCAAACATCACTTTTTGTGTTTTTTGGTGTGCGTGCATGCTTGATATGCATTGTTGTATATTAGGGTGCTCTTCTACATGGAGTCATGATTAGATATGTGCACACACACATGTTCCATTAAAAGAGAGTATGTGATAATTTCCAATAACTTTTTGCTTGTAGGTCTCATTTAGCTCTCTCATAAAAAGGCACAACACATTAAATGTTGTCTGTTTGTTAGCTTTCGTATTAACATTATTTTCATGCAAGTCGAGTACTTTTTTTTTCTTTTTCTTCTCTACTTTTAGAGTCCTTGAAGAGTCTTATATTAGAAATAAAGTGCACACACAAGTTTCAAGGTGCTAGACGGACAGAAACATGTGACGAGCACCGGGAGCTGCTTGGTCGTGTCCCGTACCTTAATTCTAAATCTCATTGGTGTATATAATTAGAACTAGACATGTGCTTATGTGGTGTCTGACCGTTTTTTTCTTTTCTGAGATATGTTGCCGACCAAGGAGCACCGAGCTATTATTGTTTTATATTTTGCTAGTTTTATTTACTTTTCTTGCATGTTTGTGTGTTTTGATTGACTTCTCCTTTTTGGATTGTGCTTTTACTTGAGAATCCAGTGTTGTCACTTCAACTCTCTAGGACCTAAAATTTATAAAAAGTTTTCTATAAAATCTTAATAAAAATTTTAAGATTAATTAAATTTTTGGATTAAGAGATTCAAGACTTTTAAAACCTGCTTTTATTTTCCTGCATAGCCTTCGGGTTGGGTTTAAAATGGATTGTATACATGGCCATATCCCAAGCTATTCCTAAGTCATACTAATTAAATACTCATATAAGATGTCATCTTGATAGAGCCATTTGCAGTACTTAGGCTCTGTTTGACGCGCCCCTTTTTTGCTTTTCCGCCGGCGGCTCCCCTGCCCCAGGAAGCTGCTGCGGGGAAGCAGCTGCGGGGAAGCTGACAGTCTGTTTGGTGCTGCTGTGTAAAAACAGCTGCAGAGCAGCTGTTTCTGAAAAAATGACCATTTTGCCCTTCTTTGATAAAACTGTTTAAAAAAAGACTGTAACAGTGAAAATTTTTTAACTTCATAAGTAAAATTTGTTATGTAATAAATTAGTGGAACTTGAAAGTGTTAAATAAGTAATAAATGTAATTGTTGGATAATTTTAAAAGTTATGAATATCAAGCTTTGATGATCAAACACATATATTTTAATTTTTAATCGTTTATGAACATGTTAACGTAAAAGTTGCTAAAAAATTTTGACTGCAAATTAAAGTACCAATTTGTGCTATATATTACAACAAAAAGAGCACATTACATAGAGTTGCTTTTAAGGAAAAAAAAGGAAGCAGAACTACTTACAGAAAACAGAACTGGTTATAGGGAAACACATGCTCTTCAAATTCCATCTGTGGATTACTAATTGCAGTGTAAATACGAATGCAATAAGATCACAGAACCTTTGCTTTCAGATTATACCAAATTTAATTTCATAACACATTGAAGATATCACCAATATAGCTTTTCATACATCAGTAATGAAGATTTTAACATAACTAAACAAGATTCAATAGAAAAAAGGTTTCCCAATTCCTTGCAGCAATTTGAGGTATAAAACATTCCAGCGCATGAAGATAGTGTTGAACAAAAAACCTTAAAGTGGCAAAACTACCCAGCTACATTTACCAGTAACCTCATTCAGCAAACTCATTCGGCGCAGAACATGTAATGTGGTATGTATGTAAACCTTCCAACACACTTCAGGTTAAAATGAAGAATTCCAGCAAGCTCCTAAAGATAAAAAACTGTAGCAAACATATATTTTAGAGGAGAATTCATAGTCGTATGTATGTAAACATTCCTACTCATAACTGCAGCAAAAAATATTCTAAAGTGGTATGTATATAAACCTTATAAAAATCTGCAGCAAAAAATATTATAAAGTGGTACCTTAAATTAAAAGGGACCTTAAATGCCACACATCAAAAATCAGAAAGGCATGAAGACTCCAACCATTATACCACTTTGAAGCTATAATTATTTTAAATATGCTTCACAAAGAAATCACAGGATATAAATATGACTTCCTCTCTTTTATGTGTTATGAAAAGAAATGATGAATAAGGGAAACTAACATGTTTCAGAGCAATGAAAATATGCCTAAAGATGTCGCTTCCAAAAAAGATAGGAATGAAGTAAGAAGCTTGCATATTAAAGAAGATTCTAAAGTAATTAAAACGGAAATGTGATTTGAACAAATAAGATATAGAATTGGAAAGTTTCATATAAAAGAGAAGTGTGTGCATCAGAGATGAGAATGAACATACAGTGAATGCCATAGTTAACAAGGACTGCAACCAAATGCATCTTTAAAAAGGTTTGATAATACTAATAAACAAATTGATAGAAGAAAAACAACTATAATACAAGCCAACTTACTGGATATACGAGCCTGAAGTTAGGGTAGATGGAAATATGCAACTAGGCAAAGTCGTTGTTTAGATATAAAAGTTTAGCTACCAAACAATTTCATCAGTAATTCGTTCCCTTAGCTCTACCATCTCGCTTGCACCTTCCCCATCAACGGTGAAGGCAATGGAAGCCTCGGTCTCTTCTTCTGTGAAAGACTGACCTAGCCGATGTTCAAATGCTTCCGAATGCATATTTTCTTCATCCTCTTCCGCCAAATGAAAGTCAATATCACTACGGGAATGATGTCTTCTTATGTAATTATGAAGTGCCATTGTAGCACAGACAATATGTACCTGCTTCGAAAAATTGTATGGAGGCATATCACGGAGTATCACCCATTTCTTTTTCCAGACACCAAAAGTCCTCTCAATTACACCACGAAGCGATGAATGTCGTTTATTAAACATTTCCTTTCTTCCTCGTGTGACGTTACTTGCACGTGCAAAGTCTGGTATGTGATATCTCGTATCAGGGAATGGCTTTAAATACCCTCGTTGCAATGGGTAACCAGCATCGACCAAGTAATACTTCCCTAATAAATAGAACAATTAGTACGGAAATTCAAGTTATTTTAGGGATCCTAATTAATAATTGCATAATAAATTGAACAATTTGTATGAGTTAGATCCCGAGCATACCTGTAGGTGGATGTGGAAAGTTGTTATTAGGATCCCGTGTCGCAGTTTTAAAACCTCGCCTGGCATGTGCGCTGCCCTCCCAGCCAGCCATAACAAAAGTAAAACACATGTTAAAGTCGCAGACGGCCATGACATTTTGGGTAGGGCTACCACAACGGCCGATAAATGTCACCTTATCACTATTTTGGTTACGTGCGTCAACATGTGTTCCATCAATTGCGCCAATGCAGTCCTGATGAGTAAATGTTAGGTTTGAAAATATCATTGCTTACCCTTGCAACGTTAACTATAATGAATCCAAGAGAATACCTTAAAAAATGGCATATATCGTGCATCACGTGCTATCTCAACCGGTATCTGCTCAAACTTATAATCTGAGGGTCTGATGACATGAGAGGACAGACTAACAAGTGCGCTCAATCCGATTGAGAA